GGGGGGGGCAGGACACGGCGTCCCCTCCCCTACCCCTGGCCGTCCCCCATCTCCGTGCCCTGTCCCTGTTCTGCTGCCCCCTCCCCAGTGTCCCCCTCTGCCGGCGGCCGCGTCCTCTTGAAGAACCCCATCTGCAGGAGGGGACAACGTGACCCCGCACTGCACACCAGGGCCCCATTGCGGGGTGTCCCCAGGTGTCCCCAGTGATGTCCCCTCTCCTCTCCCCCAGCACTCACCATCCCCATCAGAAGGACGAGGAGGGCAAGCAGGAGGAGCCCCGCCAGCACCCCCAGCACCACCCACCACACCGGGACGGCAGCGGGCCGGGAGCGCAGCACCTCGGTGACAGCCTGGGGGGACGGGGGACACAGGGACAGTGCCACCACAGCGGGGACATCGGGAGACCCCGAGGGACAGCACCATACCGTGGCGGTGCCGTGGGGCAGCACGTGGGGCTGGACGTGGTACGGCATGGCTGAGGTGTTGAAGGAGGCCCAGGAGTGGATGGAGAGGTGCTGGGGGTGGCCGTCCTGCTGGGGACACGGGGGGACATGGGGGGATATGGGGGGAAATGGGGGGATATGGGGGACACGTGGGGATGGGCACATGGTGTCCCCATGGGGGTTTGCCACATGGCCAAGGCTGTGGCACTGCCCCACTGTGGGGACATCACGGGGGACACAGCAGGGACAGCATGGGGACACCATTGAGACACCAAGGGGACACCATGGGGACACCACGAGGACACAGAGGTGATACTGTGGGGACACACCATGGGGACACCATGGGGACAACACAGGAATACTGTGGGAGCACATTGTGGGAACACCATGAGGACACAGTGGGCACATCATGGGGACACGATGGGGACACACATTGACACCACAGGGACACAGAGTGACACCATGGGGACACCATGAGGAAACCTCAAGGACACCACAAGGACATCATGGAGACACACGGTGACACTACAGGGACACCATGGGGACGCTGTGGAGACACACAATGACACCATGGGGTCACTATGAGGACACCGTGGGGACACCATAGGAACACTATGGGGACACCAAGGGGACACAGTGGGCACATCATGGGGACACCATGGGGACACAGAAGGACACCATGAGGACACCATGGGGACACTATGGGGACACCACAAGGAATCCACAAGGACACCACAAGAACATCATGGGGACACACAGTGACACCATGGGACACCACGGGGACACAGTGGTGACACCATGAGGACACACAGTGACAGCATGGAGACACTACAAGAACATCACGGGGACACAGAATGACACCATGGGGACGCCATAAGGACACCGTGAGGACATCATAGGGACGTGATGGCGATGCCATGAAGGCACACAGTGACAGCATGGGACACCGGGACAAAATGGGGACACCATGGGGACACCACAAGGAAACCACAGGAACACCACAAGGACATCCTGGAGACACACAGTGACACCACGGGGACACCATCAGAACACCACGGGGGCAATATGGGGACACGGCGGTGACAGCGTGGGGACAGAGGGGACAGCAGTGGCATGGTGCCACTACCTGCAGGGTTTCCATCCAGAGCAGCGCGCGGACGGCCACCAACACGCGCTGTCCCTGCGCCATGCTGCCCGCCTGGCACCACACCTCTGCACAGGTGGCATTGCCACAGTCCTGTGGGCACAGCACATGTCACATGTCACACGTCACACGTCACATGTCACATGTCACGCGTCACATTTCACATGTCACATGTCACACGTCACATGTCACACGTCACAGGTCACATGTCAAATGTCACATGTCACATGTCACACGTCACATGTCACACGTCACAGGTCACATGTCAAATGTCACATGTCACACGTCACACGTCACATGTCACATGTCACATGTCACACGTCACACGTCACACGTCACACGTCACACGTCACACATCACACGTCACACGTCACACGTCACACGTCACATGTCACACGTCACACGTCACACGTCACATGTCACACATCACATGTCACATGTCACACGTCACACATCACACGTCACACGTCACACGTCACAGGTCACACGTCACATGTCACATGTCACATGTCACGCGTCACATGTCACATGTCACACGTCACATGTCACACGTCACACGTCACACGTCACATGTCACACATCACATGTCACACATTACATGTCACACGTCACACGTCACATGTCACACATCACATGTCACACATTACATGTCACAGGTCACACGTCACATGTCACATGTCACATGTCACATGTCACAGGTCACACGTCACATGTCACACGTCACACGTCACATGTCACACGTGACATGTCACATGTCACATGTCACACGTCACACGTCACATGTCACATGTCACGCGTCACATGTCACATGTCACATGTCACATGTCACACATCACATGTCACATGTCACACATCACACATCACACGTCACATGTCACACGTCACACGTCACACATCACACGTCACACGTCACACGTCACATGTCATATGTCACACGTCACACGTCACACATCACACGTCACACGTCACACGTCACACGTCACATGTCACACGTCACACGTCACATGTCACACGTCACACGTCACACATCACATGTCACTCATCACATGTCACACGTCACATGTCACACATCACACATCACACGTCACATGTCACACGTCACATGTCACACATCACACATCACATGTCACACGTCACATGTCACACATCACACGTCACATGTCACACATCACACGTCACACGTCACATGTCACACATCACACGTCACACGTCACATGTCACACATCACATGTCACACGTCACACGTCACATGTCACACGTCACACGTCACACATCACATGTCACACGTCACACGTCACACATCACACGTCACACGTCACAGGTCACACATCACATGTCACACGTCACACATCACATGTCACACGTCACACGTCACACGTCACACATCACACGTCACACGTCACACGTCACACATCACATGTCACACGTCACACGTCACATGTCACAAGTCACACGTCACAGGTCACACGTCACATGTCACACATCACACGTCGCACGTCACACATCACATGTCACACGTCACATGTCACACATCACACATCACATGTCACATGTCACACGTCACATGTCACACATCACACGTCGCACGTCACACATCACATGTCACACGTCACATGTCACACATCACACATCACATGTCACATGTCACACGTCACATGTCACACGTCACACGTCACACATCACACGTCACACGTCACATGTCACACATCACATGTCACACGTCACACGTCACACGTCACACATCACATGTCACACGTCACACGTCACACGTCACATGTCACACATCACACGTCACATGTCACACGTCACACGTCACACAACACATGTCACATGTCACACATCACACGTCACATGTCACATGTCCCACGTCCCCCTGTCCCCAGCCACCCCCACGTCCCCCTCTCACCACACTGACGCTCTCCTCCTCGTCCCCCGCGTCCCTGCGCTCCCGCCGCCGCGTCCCGTTGCTCTGCCCCACATCCGGGGCTTGGGCCACCTCCAGCTGGGACAGACGGACAGCCGTTCAATGCGCTGCCACACGCGCCGTCCCTGCGCTCGTCCCCGTGTGTCACCTGCATGGGGTTGAGGTCCGGCGGTGGCACGCAGGTGATGCCACCCTCGGTGCCCAGCTCCAGGAGGTACAGCAGCGTGCGGCCGCCCGCGGCGACGGGGATGTGGAGGCTCAGGGTGACGTTGGTGACGGTGGCCGGGCCCTTATTGTGCAGCTGTGGGGTGACATCGGGTGGCACTCGGTGACACTTTGGGGCCGTGCCACCTCCACCCCCCTGTGCCATGCCCTACCTGGTAGACGTGCTCCACGCGCACCCCATGGTTCTCCGGCTGGCGGCTGTCCCCAGCCTGCCGCCACTCCATGGGCAGCACGGTGGTGGCAGGCAGGGACATGCTGGTGGCACATGGGGACGTGTGGGGTCACCTCCCCGCCCCCCTGCAGCCCCGCAGCCCCTCATCCTCATCCTCACCCCCTCAGCTCCATCTCTGCGTGCGCTTCCACAGGGATGGTCACGGCCGCGGTGACGCTGGGGCTGTTCTTGCTGCGGGGACAGGGGGGTGAGCACAGCACCATTTGGGGACACGGCAGGGGACAGCAGGGGGACGGCAGGGGGACGGCGTCACCTCCTGAGCTGCAGGTGGAAGGTGATGGCATCACCCGCGTCCTCCAACCCGGTGACACTCAGCTCCACAGCCACAGCGATCTGCGGGGCGGCACGAGGGGACGTGAGGTGACATGAGGGGACACAGGGGGACAGGAGGGGACGCGGGAGGTGACAGTGCCACCCACCTGTGTGCCCGCCTTCATGGGGTTGCCCATGTCGCACACCACCACGTGGGTTCCGTTCTCCTTCCTGGGGTTGCAGCTCAGCTTCTCCTGTCCCCATAGCGGTGACATCGGGTGACACCACAGCGTCACCACCCCAAACCCAACGTCACCATCCCACATTCAATGTCACCACCCCGCACTCAGTGTCACTGTCCCATATCTGACATCACCATTCCAAACCCAATGTCACCATCCCGTAGCAGACGTCGCCACCCCACATCCAGTGTCACTGTCCCATACTCAGTGTCACCACGGCACATCCCTCTTCCGCAACTGGGGTCACAGCCCCATACCCTGTGCCATTTCCCACACCTGATGTCACCACCCCACACTCAGTGTCACCAATGCCACCACCCCATACTCAGTGTCACCATCCCACAACCGATGTCACCGTCCCATACTGACTGCCACCACCCCATGTCCCCACCCCACACCTGATGTCACCACCCGATGTCACCACCCCACACTCGGTGCCACCGTCCCATACCCATTGTCACCATCCCATACCCGGTGCCACCGTCCCATACTCGGTGTCACCACCCCACACTGATGTCCCCCTGTCCCCATCCCATCTCCGCTGTCGCCCACCTGTGTGTCACTCAGCGCCCGCTGGTAGAAGCTGCCATCCGGGAGCTGCACCCACAGCTCGGCCTCGAAAGCCCCCTCCCCCATGTTGGTGGCCCCGACCCGCAGTGTCACCGCGTTGTCATCGCCGATCCGCAGCCGTGCATCCAGCCTGGGGGCAGCGGGTCAGGGGGAAATGGGGGGGGGGTGGGGGGCCTGGGGTGGGGGGGGGGGCTCACGTGTGGGCAGAGAGGCGCAGGTCGGGGACGCAGACGTTGTCATCACCACAGTCCTCCAGGATGATGTGGGTCTGGGGGGGGACGGCGTGGGGATGGACGGACATGGGGACAACACGTGGGGACACCCAAGGCACCGTGAGGGGCGGCATGGCCCCGCGTGTCCCCACTGCCCCCTACCTGCGCCTGCACGTGGGTGTCCCCATAGAGCACCAGGCCCAGGCCTTTGGGGTCTGGGGGCGGCAGCGCCAGGCTGAGGCTGGTGACGATGGGGCTCAGTTTGTCCCTGAAGTCCCCTTCGTCCTGGGGACGCAGCGGTGGCGCTCCGTGGGTGGGCAGCCTGGTGCTGGCTGTCACTGCCCACGCCGACGTCACCGCCCCACATCTGATGTCACTGCCCCACAAGCAGCATCACGGTCCCAAACCCGATGTCACCACCCCGTATTCAGTGCCACCGTCCCATACCTGACGTCACCATTTCGTAGCCCATGTCCCCATCCCGTACTCAGTGCCACCATCCCAACACCTGATGTCACCACCCCATACTCAATGTCACCAGCCCATATTCAATCACTGTCCCACACCCGACGTCACCACCCCAAACCTGATGTCCTCATCCCATACCCAACGTCACCATCCCACACCTGATGTCACTGTCCCAAACCCCACGTCACCACCCCACACCAACATCACCATCCCACGTCCAATGTCACCATCCCGTACTCAATGCCACCATCCCAAACCCAGCGTCCCCATCCCATACTCAGTGCCACCATCCCATATCCAGTGTCACTGCCCCACACCTAATGTCACCATCCCATATTTAATGTCACCATCCCACATTCAATGTCATTGTCCCAAACCCAATGTCTCCATCCCACACTCAACGCCACCATCCCACATCCAACATCCCCATCCCACACCCGATGTCACCATCCCATATTTAATGTCACCTCCCCTTACCCAATGTCATTGCCCCAAACCCTGTGTTACCACCCCAAACCTGGTGTCACCGTCCCACACCCAATGTCACCATCCCATATCCAATGTCACCATCCTACATCCAACATCCCCACCCCACACCCAATGCCACCACCCCATATTTAATGTCACCACCCCACACCCGGTGTCATCATCCCATATTTAATGCCACCATCCCCTACTCAATATCACTGTCCCAAACTGTCCCGACCCCAAACCCGTTGTCACCATTCCATGCCCAATGCCACCATCCCGTACTCAATGTCATTGTCCCACCCCCAACGCCACCACCCCATGTTTAACGTCGCCACCCCACACCGGTGTCACCACGCCATACCCTCAGGTACGCAGCCAGTTGGTGGCACTGCGGTGACATCCCCGGCTCCAAGGTCACCTCCCGCTGCCACGCCGCCTGCTGTCCCCGCAGCAGCAGCACCCTGCGGTGTCCCCTCTGCTTCAGGCGGTCCAGCTGCAGCTCTGCCACCAGCCCTGAGGTGACAGCGTGGTGACAGCGCCGTGCCGGTGCCACCGCCCGGCCCCCCGCCGTGCCGCACTCACGGATGCTGCGAGGGATGCGGCGTCCCGACACGGAGACACAGAGCTGCGCCTCGAAGCTGCGGGGACACGGCCGTGGGGGGGCGTCCCTGTGGCTGCCCCCAAAGGGCGTCTCCACGCAGCGTCCCCGGGACCGCGTCCCCATGGTGGTGACAGCGTCCCTATGGCCGTGTCGCCCCCATAGCGCCCCCACAGCGGTGTCCCCGTGGCTCTGTCCCCACGGCTGTGTCCACAAAGTGCCCCCACTGCAGTGTCCCCATTGATTTGTCCCCACACTGTCCCCACGGCTGTGCCCCCCAAGTGCCCCCACAGCAGTGTCCCCATGGCTCTGTCCCCACACTGTCCCCATGGCTGTGTCCCCAAAGCGTTCCTGAGCTGTTGTCCCCATGGCTTTGTCCCCACATGGCTCTGTCTCCATGGTGCCCCCACAGAGCATCCCGGTGCTGGTGACCCCGAAGCAGTGTCCCCATGGTTCCCCCATGCCGTGTCCCCAGGACAGTGTCCCCATGGCCGTATCCCACAGTGTCCCCGTGGCTCTGTCCCTGTGACCGTGTCCCCACGGTGTCCCCATAGAGCATCCCAGTGATGGTGTTCCCAAAGCAGTGTCCCTGTGGCTCTGTCCCCACGTGCCCCCATAGAGCATCCTAGAGGTCATGTCCCCAAACTGGTGTCCCCATGGCCCTGTCCCCACAGTGTCTCCATCACATCCCCACAACAGTGTCCCAACGGCATCCTCAAAGCGATGTCCCCGTGGCCGTGTCCCCATGGTACCCCCACAGAGTGTCCCCACACCAGTGTCCCCATGGCCATATCCCTGAAACTGGTGTCCCCACAGTGTCCCCACAGTGTCCCCAAAGTGACGTCCCCATGGTGTCTCCATGGTGCCCCCATAGAGCATCCCCACAGCAGCGTCCCCAGGACGGTGCCCCAACCATGCCCTGATGGTGTCCCCACAGTGTCCCCAAAGCAGCATCCCATAGCAGTGTCCCATAGCAGTGTCCCATAGCAGTGTCCCATATCAGTGTCCCATAGCGGTGTCCCATAGCGGTGTCCCATATCAGTGTCCCATAGCAGTGTCCCATAGCAGTGTCCCATATCAGCGTCCCATAGCGGTGTCCCATAGCAGTGTCCCATAGCGGTGTCCCATAGCGGTGTCCCATATCAGTGTCCCATAGCGGTGTCCCATAGCAGTGTCCCATAGCGGTGTCCTATAGCAGTGTCCCATAGCCATGTCCCAT